ACTGTACATGACAGTTACACTACTGTACATGACAGTTACACTACTGTACATAACAGTTACACTACTGTACATAACAGTTACACTACTGTACATGACAGTTACACTACTGTACATGACAGTTACACTACTGTACATGACAGTTACACTACTGTACATAACAGTTACACTACTGTACATAACAGTTACACTACTGTACATGACAGTTACACTACTGTACATGACAGTTACACTACTGTACATGACAGTTACACTACTGTACATAACAGTTACACTACTGTACATGATAGTTACACTACTGTACATGATAGTTACACTACTGTACATGATAGTTACACTACTGTACATGATAGTTACACTACTGTACATGACAGTTACACTACTGTACATGATAGTTACAATACTGTACATGATAGTTACACTACTGTACATGATAGTTACACTACTGTACATGATAGTTACACTACTGTACATGATAGTTACACTACTGTACATGATAGTTACACTACTGTACATGACAGTTACACTACTGTACATGACAGTTACACTACTGTACATGATAGTTACACTACTGTACATGATAGTTTACACTACTGTACATGATAGTTTACACTACTGTACATGATAGTTACACTACTGTACATGATAGTTACACTACTGTACATAACAGTTACACTACTGTACATGACAGTTACACTACTGTACATGATAGTTACACTACTGTACATGATAGTTACACTACTGTACATGATAGTTACACTACTGTACATGATAGTTACACTACTGTACATGATAGTTACACTACTGTACATGATAGTTACACTACTGTACATGACAGTTACACTACTGTACATGATAGTTACACTACTGTACATGACAGTTACACTACTGTACATGATAGTTACACTACTGTACATGATCAGTTACACTACTGTACATGACAGTTACACAGTGGGAACACCAGTAGTGCGCAACAGTAGATGAAACAAGTGAATGTAAATGATCTACAACGTATTTCTTCCTCTCATTAATATTTATTAATTCAAAGTATATTAAAAACAAGATCTAGACAATTTAAGAGTACTTACTGACCTTAGGGAGATCTCCATATGTTAAGCAAAGGACACAAGTGCATGTAATGTGATATTATATTGTGGCAACATTTCGCTCTTTAGGAGCTTTGTTAAGCCGTTATGAGAGCGAAACGTTGCCACAATAAAATGTCACATTAGTTGCACTTGTGTCCTTTTACTTAGCAGATTGTCGGTAATTCTGTTTTTAATTCTAGAAATCCAACTGTTTTCCCCTCCAAGTCTGTCTGCTAGATTCTCACAGTGCTGTATGACCCAGGTGGGTTTAGCGGTTATTTTGATAATAATAATAATAATAATAATAATAATAATAATAATAATAATAATAATATGTGTTTCTCTGAGGCTGTGGGTCCCCGCAGTTTATACTAGAAGTCTGGCATTACAGTTTTCTCTTGGTTGTAATGGTCACTTTCTTGTCTTCAACATTTTATCCCTTCCCAGACATGCTGAGACGAGCCTTGTCGGTCAGAAATGTGTCAGAGAGAGAGAGAGAGAGAGAAGAGAGAGAGAGAGAGAGAGAGAGAGAGAGAGAGAGAGAGAGAGAGAGAGAGAGAGAGAGAGAGAGAGAGAGAGAGAGAGAGAACTTGGCCAGCTTATAACTGAAAGTTCCCAAGAGTGTCTAACCTGACCTCTAAATTGCCCACAGGAACCCACGTACGTACACTTCAAAACTTTCTAATGTATTTTTGTCAACCAGTGAATACCTACATACTTTGAAAATGTAAAATCCTTTCTTTTCGAACTGAACCTCCCCTCTGTTTTGCGGTTCCATTTTCTCTTTGTAATATTTTCTCAACACATTTATTCCCCTTCCCAGCATGCAACGTCCTCATGGCACATATTTAGTCCTCGGGAGAGAGAGGAGAGATGCAGAGACGAGAAATATGAGAGAGAGAGACACGGAACGGAGAGAGGTGGGATATGGGTGGAGTGAGTGGCCAGTGGGTTCCCAGGTGTTAACCTGGCCTCTAAACCCAGGAACCCAGATGACACTAAACCAATGTATTTTTGTCAACCAGTGGTTAAGATCTTTTGAAAATGTCTCCTTTCTTTCGAAACGTAGATTCCTCTGATTTGATTCCAAGTTACACAAGCGATACATTGTCCACGTCTGCTCACTAACTATGCACCATGATGACGTACTATTAACGACTTCACTGGGAGATGATTACCCGACAAACTCCTTCTCATATCTTACACCATTCTCTCTGGTATAGAAACGATGGGCCAATGGTGTGGGAGAACCACTGCCTCAGTGAAGATACCAAGTGTTATTCACGGTTGTCTAAATCTCACAACGTATTCTATGATTTCCACTTACAGGCGACGTTGTGCCTGACGTTGCACTGTATAGTCTATGTCACAGTATGACGTACTGTCATGAATGACAGGGCGTCTGCAGGAAAATCTGTCCCAGACCGGAGCACTGGGGCGAAAACCCTAGAAAAGATACCCACATCAAGTTTACACGGTGTGTCCCAAACGTATGAACTTATTCCACTGGCTTCCTTGAACAGGATACAGATTGTACATCTGTCACAGACGAGGCTTGAATGCAGTGCGTTGAGGTAAGTCGGTCCAGAGCAGGGTAAGGGGGCGAGAAGCCTTGACCAGTCACACCCTCAATCACAAATAGGCGGGCCAACAAAACTACTGGTCATTATGAAAGATACAAGGAGGCACTACAAAACAAGGTCACAGGTATTGAGTAACAGAGGAACCAGGTCGATTACACAAGTACAAACGAGGATACAAGTACTTAATAAAGGACACAGGTACAGATTAACAAGGACACAGGTACAGCACTAACAAGGACACAGGTACAATAACAAGGACACAGGTACACACTAACAAGGACACAGGTACACACTAACAAGGACACAGGTACACACTAACAAGGACACAGGTACACACTAAGCAAGGACACAGGTACACACTAACAAGGACACAGGTACACACTAACAAGGACACAGGTACAGACTAACAAGGACACAGGTACACACTAACAAGGACACAGGTACGACACTAACAAGGACACAGGTACACACTAACAAGGACACAGGTACACACTAACAAGGACACAGGTACACACTAACAAGGACACAGGTACACACTAACAAGGACACAGGTACACACTAACAAGGACACAGGTACACACTAACAAGGACACGGACACCTGAGTCTACCTGGCTACTGTGATCTGCTTTAACTGGAATTGTAAAGCTCAGGTTACTCTCTTCCTCCCTCTCTCTCTCCTTTATTCTCCTCCCTCTCTCTTCTCATCTTTCACTTCCTCGTTCTCCCCTCTCTTTCCCTTCTTCGTTATCCTCCCTTTTCTTCCTCTTCGTCCCTCATTCTCGTCCCTTTCTCTCTTCCTCCCTTATTCTCCTCTATGCTTCTCTCCTTTTTTTCTCCCTTCCTCATTTTCGCCCCTTTCTCTTTTGCTCCTTTCCCTCCCTTATTTTCCTCCCTTTCTTCCTCCCTTATTCTCCTCTTTGTTTCTACCCTCCTTTATCCCTCCTCCCTTTTTCCCCCAGCCTATCCGCTTACCTTTGTAACCTCTAGTAAAACCTTGCTTACTGCAAAAGGTTACGAAGGTAAGACTGCTGGCTGCAGTCTCAACCAACCTGCAGCTCTTTAAATAAAGGCAAGAGTTGTAGTGATTCACTCTTAGAGACTCTTGGCTGGCTTCTGGAGGAAGTTCCGTCAGTTCTTCAAATCATTTCCTGATGAGCCAGGCTGTGGTGCATAGGTTGGACTGCGGATGGCGGGTACCAATAGTTTGATCGATCACGCCACGAGGCTTGGCCTGGGACGTTAAGTGACGTAGTTACACTGAATCAACAACATACCTACACACTGCCTCAGTAATATATCCAGACACTGCCTCAACAATATATCCACACACTGCCTCAACAACATGTCCACACACTGCCTCAACATACCCACACACTGCCTCAACATATCTACACACTGCCTCAACAACATACCCACACACTGCCTCAACAATATACCTACACACTGCCTCAACAACATACCCACACACTGCCTCAACATACCTACACACTGCCTCAACAACATACCCACAAACTGCCTCAACAAAATACCCACACACTGCCTCAACAACGTATCCACACACTGCCTCGACAACATACCCACACGCTGCCTCAACAACATACCCATACACTGCCTCAACAACATATCCACACACTGCCTCAACATACTGATCACATATCAACAGAAGAATTTACTAACCAGGCATGTTAATAAGACACAATTTGCGGTTTATAGAATTTTACTGAGAGAACGTTTCGCCCATCAGGGACTTTTATCAGTTCTCAAGAAAATCCCTTAATCCGCATGATGCATGTTATTCACAAACAGATTTATCAGCTTCGCCATGAAACTGTAATTCGTGAAACGATGCTATTATTGTCTAAAATACATCACTGTATCTGATGGGTCCTGATCAGGACGCAATGTGACCTCTGAAATTGTATTTTTTTTGCTCTGCTGCCACTCAGAGGCCGATCTGTATATGGATACAATACACAATTAGCTGCAGTTATACACAGGTACATTATTATTATTGCTATGGGGAGCGCTAAAGCCGTAGGGATTATACAGCGCCTGTGGGGGAGGAGATGGAAGACATTCAGGCTCGATTCAGGGAACTGGAGCACAGATCCAATTCCCTGGGTCAAGAGCCCCTCACCAGCGTCAAGGAACCTCCGTTGAGGGCCGATACACAGGTACAATACTGTACTCTGTGTGTGAAGTTAAACCATTCTGATTGTCCAATACTGTACTCTGTGTGTGAAGTTAAACCATTCTGATTGTCACAGAGAGATTGGTATTTGCTGTGAATCTGAGTGCTGTGCTTGGTATTTTTTTTGCAAAGCCATGCCATTTTACTTTCGTTGTGATTACCAGTGAAATAATGGGGGTATTTTAGTTGGAGAAGGATTTTTTTTTTGTTTACAGCCCAAACAAGAGTGAATCCCTTCGAAATCCACAACCCCTTGGTAAATCCTTTCGTAATGTCTAACTACGATAACCACGAACCCTCTTACAGAACTCGCAAAATTACACGTAAACAAAAATATTGAATTGACGCATGTCGCGAGTTTCCAATACCATTATTATTATTATTATTATCGGGTCCGATCCAAGGAATGTCGGTTCCAATTCGCTGGATGAAAAGTCCATTACCAGCATCAGGAATCCTTCCTTGGATGGGTTCCAGTACCAAGACTTCAGAACAATTTAGCTGAGGAAGGAATCGGACCCCTCTTCCCCGGCCCTAATGTACCTACCTATAGGCAACATACGCTTAGCTACACGGAACATATACTGAGCTTCAAGGAACATATACTTAGCTTCAAGGAACATATACTTAGCTACAAAGAGAATATACAAAGAAACAATGGAGCATATGCACAGCTACAAGGTATATACGTAGCAACACTGAACAGCAGGAAACTCGAGGTAAGTATTATCTTTTCTGGTAATGATGACTCTAAACAAGGGCCCTAACGTGACAACAGGATATACACACCTAGATGTGTATAAATGTATGCCTGTTAGGGTATATATACTGAGAGTTTAGTCCTTTATTTAGGTGGTGAACAGGTGACACGGAGCCTCAATGGCACTCGTGCAGTAGACAGGCCTTAAACCCCATTCAACAACGTACACAAGGATGACATTCACGGTCAGGTTAGCCCTGATAGGGCACTGACGCCAGCAGACATCCGTGTGCATGGACAGCAGTGTCAATATAACGTGTTGATTGAGGCAGTGATGACCACTGGTCTGGCACCATCCAAGGCAGTATCAGTCTCTCGGCCAACCAGGGAGCCCAATTCATCTCTTGATAAAACGTCCACAGGTATAACAAGGTATATAAAACGAGTAGTATATACCTCAAGGTATATTCTCAGCCTTCAGCATGCCTCACCAGGCCCTTCACGTCATTTTGCTCAGTATATGTACTCACGTACTCAGGTCTGAGCAGAGCTCAGATCTGTTTGTGACTTGATAAAACCCATTGTGTGTGCGAAACGTTGTCAACAAAGGATAGCCTTATACTGCATTTGTTTCTACTTTTCCATCGTGAGTTTTATAAGTGAGTGAAGATGACAGTTTATATGGGAGTGAAGGTGATGACATATATGGGAGTGAAGGTGATGAAGCATATGGGAGTGAAGTGGTGGTAGGAGTGCATACGAGGGAGTGAAGGTGAGGGTGAATGTGAGAGTGAAGGTGAGGGAGACTCTGAACACAGGGACAAAGGTATCGGGAATGAGGAATGGTAGAAGAGTGACGAGTGTGGGACCTGACACACTTTTGCACTCAACCATCAGCTCACTCAAGGCTGATATGCCATTTTTTTTACACTACCATACACACAGACGGCGCGCAAAACCACACGCGCATGCAAATATAAATCACACACACACACATATCATACGCAGTTTTGAGGGTGGATACGTCACGCTGGAAGCTCTGCCAAACCAGGTGTACGAGGTTAAAAAGTGTGGACAAGAACTGACTTGTAATCCAAAATCGAACCACACATAGGTGTGTACAAATGAGTAAACACACACACACACACACACACACACACACACACACACACACACACACACACACACACACACACACACAAACACACACACACACACACACACACACACACACACACACACACACACACACACACACACAGGCTGCAGACCTGGTCCAGCAATTGGCTCCTGGAGTTCAATCCCACCAAGTGCAAAGTCATGAAGATTGGGGAAGGGCAAAGAAGACCGCAGACGGAGTACAGTCTAGGGGGCCAGAGACTACAAACCTCACTCAAGGAAAAAGATCTTGGGGTGAGTATAACACCAGGCACATCTCCTGAAGCGCACATCAACCAAATAACTGCTGCAGCATATGGGCGCCTAGCAAACCTCAGAACAGCATTCCGACATCTTAATAAGGAATCATTCAGGACCCTGTACACCGTGTATGTTAGGCCCATATTGGAGTATGCGGCACCAGTTTGGAACCCACACCTAGCCAAGCACGTGAAGAAACTAGAGAAAGTGCAAAGGTTTGCAACAAGACTAGTTCCAGAGCTAAGAGGTATGTCCTACGAGGAGAGGTTAAGGGAAATCAACCTGACGACACTGGAGGACAGGAGAGATAGGGGGGACATGATAACGACATACAAAATACTGAGAGGAATTGACAAGGTGGACAAAGACAGGATGTTCCAGAGATTGGACACAGTAACAAGGGGACACAGTTGGAAGCTGAAGACACAGATGAATCACAGGGATGTTAGGAAGTATTTCTTCAGCCACAGAGTAGTCAGTAAGTGGAATAGTTTGGGAAGTGATGTAGTGGAGGCAGGATCCATACATAGCTTTAAGCAGAGGTATGATAAAGCTCACGGCTCAGGGAGAGTGACCTAGTAGCGATCAGTGAAGAGGCGGGGCCAGGAGCTCGGACTCGACCCCCGCAACCTCAACTAGGTGAGTACACACACCAGTTTAAAGATTAAAAAAAAAACAGGATGTACACTTTGTGTACATTACATTCAGATAAGACACTTGTCTTTTTTTTTTTTAAAAAACTGCACAATAAGTTAGTCTGCCGTCCATCCTGTGGATGGTAGCGGCTAGTTTATTGTGCACCCCATAACCATCCTGTGGACGGCAGTAGCTAGATTATTGTGCACCCCATAACCATCCTGTGGAAAGCAGCAAGAATTTATGGATACACTAAAGGCCTAGGAATTCCAGCGGTACAGAAAACACGGTACCTGATCACATACACTACCTAAACCTGCGCCCTTGGTGACCTTGATCACGGACGTGATTGTTTAAACAATGACACGTTTTTCTGTTCTTAGATGTTGTGTGATGGAGTCACTGAACGGGTCATCAGATGAACTAGTTCCGCATCAGCTGTTTTTCTCTGATGAATACACTGACAGTAACAATGTAAGTGTTGGCCTGCAACAAGGTAGCGAAATGATGGTATCAACCATAGACTGACAGCAGGCTGGCATCAGCCGTAGACTGACAGCAGGCTGGCATCAGCCGTAGACTGACAGCAGGCTGGCATCAGCCGTAGACTGACAGCAGGCTGGCATCAGCCATAGACTGACAGCAGGCTGGCATCAGCGGTAGATCGACAGCTGGCTGGCATCAGCAGTAGATCGACAGCTGGCTGGCATCAGCAGTAGACTGACAGCAGGCTGGCCTCTGCCTGCTGTCAGTTTGTCCTAAGTTCCCGTACTCTTGGGTCTTCATCTCTCACGCTGAAACATAAAGTGATCTAAGCTTCTTAAATTCAAAGGCAGCTCCCCAAATCCAACATTACCGTGTCTGTAACAGAACAGTGGCTGGAACAATATCGTGACTGGAACAATATCGTGTTTGGAACAATACCGTGTTTGTGACAATATCGTGGATGTAACAATATCGAGTAAGGAGCAGCATTACGGGTACAACAATACCATGGTTGGAATAATACAATGGCTGGAACAAAATTGTGGCTGGAACAATTCATGTCTATTAGGAAAGCGTGTCCTGTTAGTCATTTTAAAGGAGGCTCTTGACCAAATTCTTTTTGTTAAACTTGGGAACATTCAGTGTGTGCCTAACCTTCTCTCTATATAAGTTACAGTGTGGATCCAGCACCCAGTGTGGGGTACACCCACGAGGATGGAAGACGGGGGTAGGTGGGTGTGGAGAAGGCTGGTGTGCAGTCAAGCAACGGTGGACAGTGACCCACACTGCATATTACATCAAGATCCACAAGTTATGGGCTGGCTGACCCTTTCCTCGTTGATTTACAACCTTGACACCTCTATCTGGGTTTTCTTGATCCTCTCCTCGTTGACTTACAACCATGACGCCTCTGTTTGGGTCTTCTCGATCCTCTCCTCGTTGACTTACAACCTTGACGCCTCTGTTTATGTCTTCTTTACACCTCAGTCTGTAGCTACATATTAAGGTAGATTACTTCGATGTGGACTCTTCTCGGTAGATTACTTCGATGTGGACTCTTCTCGGTAGATTACTTCGATGTGGACTCTTTTCGGTAGATTACTTCGATGTGGACTCTTCTCGGTAGATTACTTCGATGTGGACTCTTCTCGGTAGATTACTTCGATGTGGACTCTTCTCGGTAGATTACTTCGATGTGAACCCTAAAGTCCTCTGGTATTTGTCCTTTCCCAGTACTCGTACGCAGGAATACCTCAAAGTGAAGTCAGTGTACACACATCATGCACCCTACTGCCATCCTGTGGACTAGTCCCCAACACTGTGTTAGCTTTACATGTTTTAGTGGAGATAATCTATATGTTGGTGATACGAAGAACATGAAGCAACTTTTGCAGTACGTGATTTGTCATCAAAATAAGGTTTGTACTTACATACCTCACTGGCAGGAAGTAGCAGTTAGTGACGTTTATTAACTTACACCGACTAGGGGAAAACACTCTCTCTTAACTGCTCAATAATTGATGTTGTACATACCAACTGGTGTGTACAAAAAGCTGGTGTACACATAGGTGTACACAAAGCTAGTGTACATTTAGATGGTGCACACACAGCTGGTGTGCACATAGCTGGTGTACACATAGCTGGTGTATACAGCTGGTGCACACATAGCTGGTGTACACATAGCTGGTGTACACACAGCTGGTGTACAAACAGCTGGTGCACACAGCTGGTGTACACACAGTTGGTGTACACATAGCTGGTGTATGCACAGCTGGTGTACACACAGCTGCTGTACATATAGCTGGTGTACACACAGTTGGTGTACACACAGCTGGTAGACACAGTTCGTGCACACATAGCTGGTGTATAAGGGGCCAGCTGAGGCCAGGAGTGCATAAGTTACCAACATTGAGCGAGGCGTGCATGTCCCTCAGGTCAGTGCAGTCAATGTCACGATCCCAAGTCAACCTTGAAGGTCAAGGGTCACACCTGAGTTGTCCTTGAAGACACACGTCATCCTCCTCCTCCTCCTCCTCCTTCACCCTATCCCAACCCCTCATCTTCATTACTTCCTTTCCCTTACCTCCCTTCTCCCATCCTATCCCTTCCATAATCACCCTCCCATCACCTCTCCCTTTTGCTCCTCGTCAGCCTTCCCCTTTAACCCCACAGATGTTTTTCCTGCACGGAGGAATTCCTCTTAATTTGTTTACGTGTTAAATAATTACCAAGCTTAATCCAGTAAACAAATTTAGCAAACTAACAATGAGCCATGTACTTAGCTAATCTAGTGAGGGATTCGCGCGCTCAGAGGTGCTCACACACAGAGCGACCTAGTAGCGACCAGTGAAGAGGAGCCAGGAGCTATGAATCGACGCCTGCGACCACAATTAGGTAAGTACATACTCAGAAGTACTCACACTTTCTCAGGCGTAGTCATTCACAAACTCAGAAATACTGAGACACTGAAATATTCAGACATCGAAAAAATCATTCTTGTCATTTAGACTCTGGAGTCGAGTTAGCACTCGATGAAAATTGTATTCGGGTTCTTTACCCAGAGATAATCCAAAAAAAGGGTAAAACAGTGTAGCTTTATTCCCAATGCAATTTTACGAGCTAATATAGCAATGATGGGTGATCCCATAGCCATCCCAAAATAGTACTCGTCTTTATGGAACTGAGCCTCATTACATTTGTTCAACATAACATGGTTATGGAAAAATAAACACAAATGCAATATACTGTGATTATTGACTACGTTTCGCCCACACAGTGGGATTTATCAAGTCACAAACAGATCTACCTGGGTAAAGAGTACATCAGTAAATATAAGGTGGAGAGTCAGGTGGAGAATGCTGGGTAGGCTGGATTTGAGACGGACTTGCAAGGGACAGCAAGTACTTTTTACCATTTATTATTACTATTATTATTTATTTTTATTATTATTATTATTATTATTATTATTATTATTATTATTATTATTATTATTATTATCTCCATAACACGGCTATGTTACAAAGATGATAATTTGATGATTTCTCCGGAAAGACTCGACATTAATACACTGGTATCCAGAGTCAAAAATGTAGAACTATCCGTTATATTTACGCTCGAAGAGAACAAGAACAGCAGTCTCCAGTTCTTGGACGTCCTCTTAGACACAGACAAGGATAAACTGGCCATCAAAACGTACAAGAGCTCCACAAACAAGGACGACCTACTACACTTCTACTCGCATCATGGCACACTAAGAGGTTCGTCATCGGTCTTCCATGAGCACATACGATCTGCAGCCCGCAGTTCCTCAAAGAGGAATGTAATTCCATTTTCCCAGTGTTAACATGCCTTCAATTGGCTCCACACTAGGTCTTAAAGTGCAGGAGACGGGCCCACCACATCAACACAGCTGCCTGAGAACGATCACAAACTAAGTGGGTAGTGCTTCCTGTTGGGGAAACGGAGGATGAGGTGGCAAGCAACGTCAATAAGGCACTCAGGTAAAGTAAGGTTTGTCAGAAAACAGGATAAGTGTTGCCTGACCGGGTCTTAGCCATATGATGACCCACTCAGAAAATCACAAAATAAGTGTGGCCAAAAAGTCCTGGTCCACCGTCAGGGGCCTAGTAAAGAAGAGACCAGCCAGAATGATGAAAACCAGATCAGGTGTGTGTGTGTGTGTGTGTGTGTGTGTGTGTGTGTGTGTGTGTGTGTTATTTTTGTTTGTGTGTGTGTGTGCGTGTCATTCCACGCGGGTAGGATGCAACAAGGGTGAGAAGGCCAGAACTACACAAGCGAGTGAGAGCAAAATATCTGTATAGCAGAGACAACAAACAAGTCATACAATACATGTTAGGGCATTTTATTGTGAAGATGTTTTATCCACCGTGGACTATCCTGGTGGGCGAAACGTTATCACAATAAGATACCATAGTCCGCATTGAATTATGTATATACTGTAGTATGTATACTCGACCACTATATTGCTGCAACAGATCTCATCAAAATATTGCACTAATAAAAATAAGCAATGAAGGTTAAAAAAGCCCCAGAATGCTTGCTTACTTTTGTCAGGTGTTGCTACAAGATTTGCCACCAAGGCCTACACAGAAACATTTTTCACAATAATAGAATGAATAACACTCGTGTGATACACTATAACATATATGGGCCTCTGATGAGATGGAAAGATGCCAGAGTGTTTTTGAAAGACGAGTAACTGCAGCAGTGACATTGTCTCGAGGCAGCTCTGATGATGCTATTAAGCACATTGGGCCAGAATTCCACAAATTTTAGCAGATAACGTGTCTTTATTTAATTAATTCTATCCCATGCAACTCAAACAGATGACTCACACAGAGGAACCTGACCTTATCGGACTTGACCCCACCTAATTCACCTGATCTTTGTCCACTATTTTCTGTTTCTTCTGTATTCTGTACTGAATTGATTAAGGTCTTATAGTCAGTGAAACGTCATCTAATTAAATTCTTTAAGTGTTGCAGTTAGTTTAATATGTTTATTATGCACCCCATACCCATCCTGTGGGCGGTAGTCAAAAGATTACAGAGGTACATAATTGGTCCAGGGACTGGACTCCAAAGTTTTGATAGCTGAGCAAGTTACAGAGGTAATGAATTCACAATTTACAAAGGTAATGAACTCAAAATTTACAAAGGTAATGAACTCCAGGTAGGTCTAGTCACAATCATGACAAGTTACAAAGGTATTTACAGATTACAGAGGTACGTAATGGGTCCAGGGACTGGGCCCCCAAAGTTTTGATAGCTGAACTAGGTACAAAGGTAATGAGCTCACAAGTTACAAAGGTAATGAATTCTGTAGAATGGTTACTTACGTTTATACATGGCTACAATCATGAACAAATTATAGTGTAATGAGCAATTCACACTTCCACACCCGGTCACAACTGTAGTGAGTTATTGGTGCAAATATTGATTGAGTCACACACACACACACACACACACACACACCACACACACTTTAGTTTAATATCTTTATTATGCACCCCATACCCATCCTGTGGGCGGTAGTCAAAAGATTACAAAGGTACATAATGGGTCCAGTGACTGGACCCCAAAGTTATGATAGCTGAACTAGTTACAAAGGTAATGAACTCCAGGTAGATCTGGTCACAATCATGGCAAGTTACAGAGGTAATGAATCAGCTTCACTCCTATACATGGTTACAGTCATGAGCAAATTACAAAGTAATGAACCACTGATACGTCCACACCTGGTCACAATTGTAATGAGTTATAAATACAAATATTAAGTGGATCATATA